CACACACACACACACACACACACACACTCAATCACACTTACGGGTGAGGGTGTGATTTAATAGTCTGGATCCTTTCTCTCATGCTACTATATTAAATCAAAACTACAATGAGATATCACCTCGCCCTTATCAGAATGTCTGTTACCAACAAGACAAGTTATAACAAGTGTGGAGAGGTTACGGAGAAAAGGGAACCCTCATATGCTGCTGGTGGGAATGTAAACTGGTACAGCCACTGTGGAAAACACTATGGCAGTCCCCCCCCCCAAATTAAGAATACAGTTAGCATATGACCCAGAAATCCCTCTTCTGGGTACCTACCCCAAAATCTCAGAAACATTTATTTGCAAAGATATATGCAACCCTATGCTCACTGCAACACTATTCATGGTGGTTAAGATATGGAGACAATCAAAGCGTCCTTCAATAGATGATTGGGTAAAGATGTGCTAATTAGATCTTCCCTTTAGACTTTGCCTTCCACACCTACTTTATATCATTGAGCAGTGTGGAGCATAGAACGTGAATGGTTAACAAATCCATAAATAACCATAAGTCTGACAAGCACCTGCTTGGGGATTTGATCATATCTGCACAGATGAAAAGAATCATAGATGAACATGGTAAAGTCTCACCTTGCTTTAATCTTTTTCATTAAAAAATCCTTAAGTACATACACACACATGAATACAGTATAGAGATTAAGAAACAGTATGTTATTGGTAACTTTGGAAACCCCTATATACTCCTCCTTTAGAATATTTCCAAACCTAATCCCCAAAGGGAACTACCATCTTATGTTTAACAAGTATTAGAAAGGTTGTGGAGAAAAGGGAACTCTCATTCACTGTTGGTGTGAATGTAGACAGGTATAGCCACTATTAAAAATATTATGGAGGTTCCTCAAAAAGTTAAAAATAGAGTTACCATATGACCCAATATAGAGCTACCATATTTCCTGGGTATCTACCCAAAATTTTCAAAAACATTTATTTGCAAAGATATATGCAACCCTATGCTCACTGCAACACTATTCATGGTGGTTAAGATATGGAGACAATCAAAGCGTCCTTCAATAGATGATTGGGTAAAGATGTGCTAATTAGATCAGATGTCTTCCGGACGTCATTCCAGACATCCTTCCTGATGAAACTGGGGCCAGAGGGAAGCCAGCCTAGGTCCTGGGTGCCTGCGGGAGGCCCGAGGGAAGCCAGTGCCAGCAGCCTGGGTCACGGGTGTCAGAGGGCAGCTGGTGCTGAAGGCCTAGTCTTGCACGAATTTTTGTGCATCAGGCCTCCAGTCCTATATAATGAAAGCATAATATGCTAATTAGACCAGGTGTCCATCCAGACGACCTTTTGGATGAAGCTGGGGCTGTGAGGGCTGAGGCAGAGGTGGCCCCCGCCACAGCGAGAGGCTGAGCCCTTTGCACGAATTTCATGCATTGAGCCTCTAGTGTATATATAATATATAAATACTACTCAGCCATAAGAAAATACGCAATAACAAAATAAATCAGTCAGGTCAGCAAAAGCTAAGAACTATATGGCTTCACTATGTGGGATATAAAACTGAAACTCATACACACAGACAACAGTATGGTGGTTGCCAGAGGAAACAGGGTTGGGGAAATAGTAAAGGGTAAAGGGGGTCAAATATATGATGATGAAAGATGATTTGACTTTGGGTGGTGAGCACACAGTGCAAAATACAGATGATGTGTCGCAGAAATGTTATAGAACTCCATGGTGTGAAGAGATCAGAGATCGTCCTTGGTGTACATGGGGTGTTTATGATATCTCTACTTTTTTGCTTGCTGTAAACAATGTTGCTTTATAACCATTCTTCTCTATGTCTATCTGTGCACATGTGAAACAGTTTCTCCAGATGCAGAATTGCAGTTTTAGAAATGGACTTCTTCAATAATATCCAAATTAAATACATAATTTGACAATTCCACCAGCATAGTATAAATGTCACTGATTCTCCTCATCTTGTCAACACATGACATTCTCAAAAATAGTCATTCATGCAGAAAATGAATCCTGCTTAAATGACCACAAATATCTACTCTAGAATCATGTAATACTTCTAACAATCTAAGATCCAGTTACAGTTAATTAAAATTACTTGCTCCATTCTAAACTTAACAAAAGACAATGTATATAGAAGATGACAAAAATAAGTTTAAAAAATCATGTTTATGCCTGCAAATTAGTCATCCATTTTTCTGATAAGAAAATTCCCTGTAATGATGTCTCAAAACATTTGTGTCAAACTGTTCTGCTGTGTTTTGCCAAATAGAAAAAATTTCCAGGCAAAACAATTAATTAGAGGGTGTTGATGATCCCTTCAATATTTAAGAAGCCACTGAAAGAGAAGAGAGAAACTGAGGAAAAGAAAATATCCCTCAAACCAAGCTGCAGGAGATAAGCCCGTTTGTGGATCTCAATTTTGGAACTTGGCCTTGAATCCTTGAACTCTTCTGCAATCATTTCGCCAACTCTAAATCACTCATTGAACACACCACAGGGAGACTTCAGATTTATGAAGGGCTTAAACCTCAAACACCAACCTTGCTTCTCCTCTTTAGATATTTTTGCCTTGTAATATTTTATTCTTATTACCAGAAATAGTTTGGGTGCTAAAAATCACCAGCACTGGAATAGCCTACATAGATCTATCTGGTTAAGTCTCTACAGACCATTTGGTAAGATTAGGTGAGAAAGTTCATTGGTAATATATTTAAACCCCTGAGTCATAAACTATTTTTTAAAAAACATACAACTGCTCAGTTTCGTTTAAACCAAGTGTATATATCCATATCTATCATCTATCTATCTATCTATCTATCTATCTATCTATCTATCTATCTATCTATCTATCTAATGGTGGTGCCTGGATGGCAGCGTGGGATTTATGATCTGAGTAGATTAGTGCTAATAAAACTCCATCAAACATACCCATATCTGCATTGAACAGGGAGCATTCCATGGCTACATGACCACAAACTGTATTACAAACCCACAGCAGCTGCTCTGCAAATGAATGTTGGCTATGAGGAAATTAGGGGAAACAAGCTCTTGGTATTGAAGAGTACACCCCTCACCACATCTGGAAAGAAATTAAAGGTCACACTCTATTGGTGGTTGGTCTATGATGTCAACCTTCACCACAAAGACTAGCATGTTACCTTTTGATAGGCAAAGATCTCAGGCTGAGAGTCAGGGAATGATGGATGAAGGGGAGGCACCATCCCCAGCAACTGTTAATGCCATCCCCTGAGGAAGAGGAGTCAGCAGGACCCTTCTCTGTGGCTTTTTAGAAGCCTTTCTATAAAATATCCTCATCTCACTGGAACCTCTCCAGACCAAAATATAAGCACTTAAATATTATTCACACTCAGGCGGAATCAACATAAACAATCAGGAATGTTGCACATACCAACCCATGCTTTGAATTTCTTACCTCATGTTTCTCAAAAGCTGGATGTATGTCTGTTTCATTGTTCAACAAAAGCAAAGACTTTAATTTAAAGCCTCTGTAATTAAACTTAAAAAAAACACACAAAATCTATCTGCTCTAGAACATATGAACTATATCTTTATTTTTTATACTTATCTATATTTTACAAACCTTCTCTGGTCATCATACTTTCACTTGCTCTTACAACTGGCTAATTCCTTTTCAGTCTACCCTTGGGGCTCTATTTCAGAACATTGTTGATTTTCAATAAAAAACATCATTTTTATAATTGGAGTTATACATTATTAAGTCTTTTGTGAGTATCCCCTTTAAAGCCTTTTTGTAACTAATCTTCTCAGAAGCTCAAATAAATGTTTTAGGAACTGACAATTCAAAAAATGAATTGCTATGAATTTTACAAATAGCATCCAGAGAAACACTTTTTAAGAGGATACATGAACTTTATGCCCAGATATAAATATTGAGGTGAGCAAAGCAGGAAAAAGAACATGGCAGAATAGTACCAACAGTTAAGAAAACTGTGTGGCTCTTGGGCACAACCCTGAAACAAGAAAGTTGAGTTGAGCAATAATCTTTGTACAAATATGACCTTCTTTGGGTGACATCATATCAGACTCCTGTTAAGTATTGTTTTTCCTTTGCCTCTGAAAGTGATCATCTTTCAGTGTGTTTGTTGGACTGACCTCAGAACTGGGCCAGCCCATCTCATAAGAGCAGTTGAATGTCAAGGAACAATTTAAACAAAGGCAGATATCCTCTGCACAGGAAATTGTTATAGCAAATAGTCAATGTTTAAGGACAGCCGTGGGGAAACACTCCTTGCATTAAGGGGTTAGAGACATCATCAAGGAAAGGCACAAAGGCGTGCTAGTGATTTATCTTCCTCCTAAGCCCAATGCGATATGTGGCATTGAATTACAAAGCTAATGGGTAACAAAAGGAATGCTCTGCAAGAATCTATCCTTTGTATTCATTAGGCCTCGATAATCTAGTTCTACAGGTGTCAGCGCTTGGTTCTTCCTTCATGATTAAGGAATTTGGCCACTTTGACAAGGGCGATAAAGAAGAAGCGATGCCAGGTGCTGGCATTGTGAACAGCTTGTCTCCACTCGCAGGCCTCATGAAGACTGTCACCTTGGGACTTAGCAGGGGATTATAACCTCTGGATGGACTGCTTCATGAGTATTTATCATCCTTAAAACTCTGATCAGAAATGCCAAGTGGTCATGGTTACAAGACACCTGATTTTGCACCATCCCTGCTAAAAGCTCCTCTGCTGTACGGCTGATAAATATTGGCATTATGTTCCAAAGTGCATGGAACAACTTGAAATCCTGTCTCCTCTCACACTAAGCAAGAAAAAAAGTCAGACTTAAGCTTTGGCACTTAGCTTATTTCTCAAAGAGCGAGGACCGCTGTTCGTGAGTTTTCACCTTGAATTTCTCGTAAACATTCGTTTTATAAAAAGAGTACATGTGAAAGACCAATTAGAGAGATAAGAGATTTTCAATTACCTTGGAAACTCGGTTGGCAACTTCTCTGCCCACAGTCAGCCCCTGGACGAAAGTCCGAGCAGCAATGAAGGCGCGGGTGACCTGAATTTTCAGTTTGCGGGGTACATCTCCAAACGGCTTCAGCTGGTCTGTGTATTTGCTCACGCATTCCAGGTAGTCCTCGCTGAAGTGATACTGTGGGTTTATCAGCTGAAACATCCGTTCCAGGAGCCGAGCCCAGAAGTCATTGAGCATCTCCTCCAGGTTCACATTGCCCCCTGTGTAGTATCTCTTCAGCTCTGTGAACAGGTCCTGGAACACTTCTGAATTCTGCATGTACAGCATCCCATAGGTCCGTACAAACATATCATTGAGTGACTTTTCTGCATTTTCTAGGAGTTCTCGGAAAAATTCTGCAAATAAAAAGAGAAAATGGTCAAACATTAGGAATAGTTATAAATCCCAGGGCATCTACTTACCTCAATAAAAAATATAGATATAGATATATAGATATATAGATATTCCTTAAAACTCGGATCAGAAATGTCAAGTGGTCATGGTTACAAGACACCTGATTTTGCACCATCCCTGATAAAATATCCTCTGAGGACACTTTTTCCATTGTTTCCTTTTTCGTTTTAGAGAGAGTAGAAGAGTGGGAAGATAAGAGGGTCGAGTGGAGGGGGAGAGAGAATGAGAGAGATACATCAATTGGTTGCCTCCCACAGGAGCCCTGAGCAGGGCTGTAGATATACCCCTCAATCCAGGTATGTGCCCTTGATAGAAAATCAATTGAACCCACAATTCTCTGGTGCTCAGGGCAATGCTGTAACCACTTAGAAACACAGGTCAAGGCTGGTGACTATCTAAAATGAGATTTGCCCTACATCTATAATCTCCATGTCAAAGAAAATAGAGGAACGTGTGATTTCTATTTGAAAGAACATCCATTATTATTAGGCGTTTACCATTGACTATATCTCCATAGTTGCGCAATTCTTTTTTCATTTATTTTTAAATTTTAGAAAATCCTATAGTTTGACGTGAAGTCAAAACAAAATATGTTGCAATGTATCCTCATTAACATAATAGCAAATGCATACTGATAAAAAACATTTGCACCAGCCTATTTACAAATCTGTTCTAACACTAGATTTAATTAAACTGCTTTTATTTGGAATAGTTCATAAATAGTACATTCATATTATGTAATAGTTTCGACTCTTTGTAATTGCAATATATAGTAATTAATTATCAGTGTTCAGAGAGTGGTAATGCAATTAGATTTACTTAATACCAAAGATATAATGAACTTGATTGCCATAATGAATTGAAGAGTTATGAAATACTCTGCATTATCATTATCCATACAAACTATCATTTTAGAAAATTTGAAGGAAAGATATGCAATTGGACTTTCTGGTTAAGAGGTTCTAAATGAAAAAGACTATCCCAAGAAATAAACCCTCCTTCCCGCAATAGCACTTGGGTGTTACAGGAAACACTAGGGATGCAAAAATAAGAATGAACACCACTGAATACCGCCAGCTTCACTGGCCCTCGGATTAGGTTCACTCAGGAAAGAATGCATGGGTATAGGGCACCTATATCGGTGTGCAGTCTGGGCAGAATAAGCTCAAGTTTTACCGCATATGTAGAATGTGATTGGGGTGGCTAAGGAAAGATAATGCTTCTAAGTTTATAAACCCAAGCTGCCAACAAATGAGTGATTGTGCTTTACCTCTCATGGCTCCCTTTTATTCCATGAAGGTATGTTCCCTCTCAGCTAATGCAGGGACAAATGAAGTCCTGGACATCTCAACAATTCTAAGTAAAAATAAAACAAAACAAAACAACCCCCACCCAAAAATAAATACATAATCAAACAACAAAAAACACACAAAAAAACACCTAAAACCAACAAAATAACTCTTCTTTTTGGAACTCTCAGGGGCTTTTTCCTGAGAAAGACAAGGAAAAATTATAAATCTCTCCATGAATTCTATGGAAGCTAGAAATCATTTCTGCTTCATCAGAAGTTGCCTGAAGAACGTGATTTAGCTACTTCAATTCTCAGTAATGTAGTGTTGAACCATTAATAGTCTTGATATGGTGTCTAGAAGAACAATAATTGTTTTATATTTGTTATCAAATGAAACCAAAGCACCAAAGCTAAATAAAGGACATTGTACACATCTTCACCCTCTTGCTGTGAAGAACACACTTTCCTAACCAAAGAAATTCTGTTGTAAGTGGCAATAAATACTGAGAGGGCTTATCTAAAAGTCATGCTTATAAACCCTGTGTGATCTTGTCCAAGGCACCAAATATTTCTTCTTTTAATTTTTTCCCAAATGTAAAATCAGGCTAAATATTATTAAAAGTCCCTAATGTTCAAGGATTTAGTAAGTAAAATCAGTGTTGAAGCAAATAGGGCCAATTTTCCCAAATTTTTTAAAGCATCAATTAATCAAAATATTTATATATGCTATATGTTATGTTACTTATAATTTTGTGATATTAGAAAACTTTCAGATTTTTTTTTCAGGAATACTAGTCACCTAGTTTTTTCTAAAATAGAAACTATATTAAATTATTAATATTAATAGCAAAGTATAAGAATATCATATTAAAACTTTTCAATTTCAAAACTAAGAATAAAAATAGCTTGACTGCCCTAACCCATTTGGCTCAGTGGATAGAGCATCAGTCTGTGGACTGAAGGGTCCCGGTTCTATTTCGGGCAAGGCCACATGCCCAGGTTGCTAACTCAATCCCTAATAGGTGGCATGCAGGAGGCAGGCAATCAATGATTCTCTCTCATCATTGATGTTTCTATCTTTCTCTCCCTCTCCCTTCCTCTCTGAAATCAATAAAATATATATTTAAAAAAATAGCTTGACTTTGTTGATATAGGAGTAGGTGAAGTTGTTAAAAATTGTGAAAAGAAACTACAAAAGAATGAAAAAAAATTCACTGAATTGAAAAATACTAAAATGATGAAACTAGAAAGTAGATTCTAATCATGAGCTCAGGACAGCATATTCATTTATCTTCTTTTTGAGGTCAATTACTTTGTTAGACTCAGAGATTAAAGCTTAATTTATTAAATACAGAGTACTGCCTTCAGCAATGAATAGTTAGCGATCAATAGTGTGGTCTGGATTTGCAAAGAACTAAACAAAAAAAAGAAAAAGATCCTCAGGTTCTCATTGCTTTTCAAAGACTTCGATATAAATGATTCTGTGTAGGGATAAACATTGTATTTTTTATTTTATTAAAGGTAACATTCCTTAGGCTTATCCCCTCTTGACTGGGAAAACTTGAAATATGGGGCTTATACCCGCTTTGAAGTTGAATGGTTAAAACCAGACTGCTCATTCACTGTATCATGTGGTTTGTTTCCTCATGCCAAAATTAGTGTTCATCATTAAATATAGAAACCAAGTCATCATATTTCAATATATATGACCCAAGAAGCATTTCATTAGCTTCCAAGCTTAAATTTGTGTCTAAGGGTGTGTCATTGTCTGAAAAGTTTGCTATTAACTTCACTGGTCCTCAACAGTCAAGTTATTATTCCTTGCTCAAAATTATTATACGGTTTAGTGATCCCATAGTCAAAGTTAATATTGTTATTGAAAGACACTAAAGTATCAGGCAATTATGACAAATGCTGCTACCTTAAGGGACATTGATCTTATATCTTATAAAAGATGGGGGGTGGGGAAGACACAAGGTACCGAGGCAAAACTAATGACCTCCAAAAATAAGTATGCTCATTTCAGTGTTAGGATGTCCATAGACTCAGATTTCAATCTTATGAAGGTTGACTCTTTTAACAATGTATTTTCTGCTTGGGTGACAAGTGTTTCCCAGCAAACCAGACAAGATGGATATTTGGAAGACAGTTATCAGACCCGTTTTGCTGATGAAGTATTATGCCCAAACAGCACAGAGAACAAAATTGAAGAGCATTATAAGGAAAAACAATCTCAATCTAGCCCTTCATTCAATCACAGAGGGTAAAAGCTCACATTGGATAAAGCCTTCAGTCAACAAAAATTCTCATATGCAAGAAATAGTTTGGCAGAAAAAAAAACAACACACACAAACTTTTTTCTCCCCCGAATCACAAAATATACATCAAAAGTGATTGCTTAGGGCTTAGTTATGCTTCATAGATGCACAAAGGAACTTTTTTCCAGACAGTATTAGCCTCTGGGAGGTTTTTATTCATCTACAGGGGAGCTCTGGATGCAAACATCTGTTGGCTGCAGGGCAGACTGACTCAAGTGGGAGAACAATATTGTAGATAAAAACCACCACTGTTTCAAAAGCAAAAAGAAAATCTGTGCATGAGGCCTGATCACTGGGCAATGGCTCTTAAGGTGGGAAAATCAACTCCTAGGAGCCAAGAGATGCCCCAAGATATCGAAGAGAAGCTTCAAATGAAGCCTCCACATAAATGGCTCTAAATGTAAGATGCACCCAGAGGAGGGGAAGGGCAGACTAGATGCTCTCTAGGAATTTTCAGTCAATAAAAAACAGCAAAAGCTTTGCCCAATAAAGCTGTAAATGTCTTGTTAATACTGCTACAGATAAACATACTCTGCTGTGGTCTGAGTATGGAACTGTACAGCATTGACCTAGAAATTGTAGCATTTTCCTATTCTATGTCATACTCTCCAAAATACTTCTTACCGAAATCCCATTTAAAGCTAACATTTCTTGCCTGGTGGTCTTGGCTCAGTGGTTGAGCATCGACCTATGAACCAGGAGGTCAAGGTTCTATTCCTTGTCAGGACACATGCCTGAGTTGTGGGCTCGATCCCCAGAGGCAGTGACTGACGATTTTCTCTCATCATTGATGTTTCTGTCTCTCTCTCCCTCTTCCTCACTCTCTAAAATCAACAAAAATATATTAAGGGGGAAAAAAAGCTAACTTTTCAGGATGATGGTGTAAGTCCCTGTAATTACAGAACCCAATGAGTAAGAAAGCTTTGGTCACTGTGAAGTGGGGATTATATATCTATACAGGATGAGAGGCTGAACTTGTCCCACCGGGATGAAGCAGGAGTACTAAATTTGCTTCCTTAAATCCATGCATTTGTGTTGAGTGTTATTTCTCTCCTGATCTCTTTCATTCTACCCTTTCCTCCACAAAAGCATATTAAACCAGTCAGTCCCCAAGCTTTGGCTAAAAAAGCACCTGGAAGAAGTGGCGTGGAGGGTAAAATTCCAAAACCTGATGTACTCTAAGGCATGTGATTCATAGACACACAAAAAAACGATTACCCTGCCCCAAACATGCCTTTTTCAAGGTTAAGTGAGTAGGAACATCCTTCCTCGTTCTGCACACAGCTGCCAGCGTTCAGGTACATGTTTTGAGATAATTTCTCTTGTCAACAGT